GAAAACTCCTAAACCGTAAGACTTGGAGACAAAAAAATCTTTTCATTCTAGTAACTCATTGTGCCGAACATTTATGGAAGGTTTCGTCAAGATCGGATGTACGGTGCCGGAGATAATTTCTGAGGGGGGGGGCCCTTAAACAGAAGCCAGTTACAAATTATTTTAAGTCTCAGATAGTTTTTTCTTTAAATTAATAAAAGAGTGGACATATAACGGTAAGAAATTTTCTGTAAACTAAATGAGTCATCATTGACATTATTGAGAAAATCTGACTATACTAAGAATGCTTGACCTGATCCTTCATACTGAATACTAATAAAGGTTTAACTAGCAATAAAGAGCAGAGTTTTAGGCCTTGGAATCTTAAAATGGCTAAGGTACAAGTTTTCTTCGGAGAGTTCTCTAAAAAATATGCTTGAAAATCACTGGTTTTTGCATTTCACTTATTCTTTCTCCATTTTTTTGCATTAAAAGTTGAATCATATATGAGCAGAAAGAGCAAGACAAGCTAGTATTTTGAATACAGCGGGCGACTATAAGGTATGGAAGAGCTGAAACTTCCGCCAATAATGTTCCTAATTCTAGTCCCTAAGCTGCAAAAATTTCAGAACTCATCTTATGTGAGAGATCGAATTTTCTGTTTTCCGTATCGTTTCTGGTGTGCTCTGTGACTTGCAGATGAAAAAAATTTTCTTTTCTTTATCAAGCCGTTTTTGCATTTATAACTCGGCAAAATTATTTATTATCTCTGTTAGAACGTTTTCTAGATGTTTCCACTACTGAATCACATGATTAAACTTATTTGTATTTCTAGGTCGCAGAGCACTTCAAAAATGCTAGTGAAAACAGAAAAGTCGCTTTCTCACAATAAACATATGTAGGTTCTCTCATAAGAAATTTGTGTAAAACCGAACTATTAAACAGTCTCCAAAGAAAACGTTTTCCGAGTGATTTTAAGCATGTTTTTAGAGAACTTTCCGAAGAACTTCTGTATCTTAGTCATTTTATGGTTTCAAAGTCTAAAAACTTCACAGATAAAAAAGGTAGGCTAATTTTTGATCAGATTATGTCTAGCTATGCTTGAAAATCAAAAAAGTTATTGTATGCGATCCATAATTTTCATCCTCTAAAACTTAGACTTGTCATTCCAAATGTCTAACAACAATCTGACATAGTACTTGGAAGGAAAAATAACAGAATTAATAAAAGCGAACTATGATAACAAAAAATGCCAGATAGAATTAGAGAAAAAATTGAAACTATTAGAAGAAGAAAACAATCGACTTAAACAAAGTGTTAATCAATTTGATTTAATATACTGTCAAAAGTTGAAGTCTAGCGAACATGATTTAAGTAATCAGTTTGAACAAACTCTTAATCAACGAATTACAGCTGTTCAAAAAGAAGGGCAAAAGACGGATAAAATAATAAATCGCTTGGCAGAAATCACTTTTGAAAGTCGACAAATGATTGAACGTAAAAGTCATACGAAAAAGACATGACAAAAAGTGTAAGGTTTTTCTTATCCATGGGCCGAAAAATATTTCTTTTCTCGTTAGAGAACTAGGCACTTGTTTCGCACTGAACTAAATTGGATAAAACTTGGGTGCTAGATGTAGAGTTTCTCCATGAACCCATCCCCGGCTTTCTTTTGATCTCATTTTAACTTCGGTTTTCGAACCACGCCAAAAAACCTTTAAAGATGAATCATCTTTAAAAGTACTTTTCACATACACTGAAAAAAATATTATGTCGCATGGCTGTGTTGAAACTCCTGTGAGAAAGTAATGTCGCAAGTTTCTGTCGCCGTTACTAAGAACTTTTAGACGCAGTTCTTTGCGTCCGATCTGCGGTTGCCAAATTATATGTTTCACTATCGTCAACAGTCTTTGTTATGATTTTTCTTGGCTTCTCTTCAATTTTGATAGGTAGCGCTAACACCTAAAAGATAAGAAACGTTTCGGGCTTTTGAAGTTCTTGCAATTTCGAATTCATATTATTCGTCAATAGAGATCCCTCTTTTAGTCCTTTTAACCATTTCTCTACGTAAAACAATTCTTCTCCGACAAAAAGAACTAAGCCGAGGTCTTGACTACCCTATTAGTCCTAGATCTCAGAAACTAAATATTTGCAAACCTGTAGATATCAGGCAGATTAACCTCGCCGACATGACGCAGTGCGCCTAAAGTGAAGTTAAACATATTCTTAAAGCCAGATAAGAGGACAAAAATACTTAATTTTCACTGTTGTTTATATACCAGAAGTACTCACCGGAACTTGTTGCAGCTTCAATGGAAAAATGTGTCGCAAGTGTCTCCCGATGTCGCAGATGATTGTCACGCACATTATGTCGCAATTGGCAATACATCCAACATATTATGTTTTAGTGTATGCGTGGAAAGAAATAGTTTCACTACTGAGAAAAGTAGTGTTTTTTTCAATTATACTAGAAAGGAGCTAAGCTTTTCACCTAAAACTATTAAATGTAATGCTCATAAAGTTGTACGTCCTTTTTGTATGACTTCATATTAGAACAGAATTTCAATGGAACGATGAAACAAACAAGAGCAATTTAGTTAACCTAATTCGACGATTAGCCCCTAATGCAGATTCATATCTATCGTTAATGAGTGGTAATATTGCCCTAAATATTCCATATTTATTTTTACAAGATGATTGGGAAGTTATTTATAATGAACCATATAATCATTTGACAACAACTGAAGAATTACGATCACTATTATCCAAATGTTCAAAACAAATAATTGTTGCAGCACATTTTAAACAACAAGCAAGAGAGTTCTCTTTGGCTGCATGCGGTCCAAAAGAAATATTAAATTTAAATACAAATCAAAATATTCCGACTAAATTTGGAAATGTTTATTGGTATTTAACACCAAAATTATCGTTTGGTTTTTCACCAACAGAAAAAATTGAACAACGTATTATTGATACTGAAGATGAACAAGGAACGAAGCGTTTATCATGGCATTTAAATGGTTTCAGTGGTGGTTATCGTGTTGGAATGACAAAAGGTTTAACTGAGAATAAAAACTGGCGTAAAGTTATTTTGACAAACACATCAAAACCTTGAAGAGATGGAATTTAAATTTTATTTGCTTCTATGAAAAAGTTATATTTACAACCAACAAAGGTCTCTACTACATTTCTTTTCGCATAATTTAGTTTAAATTTCCTTCGCTTTAAACTTCTGGAAAACACTTTGAGAAGAATTTGACGCAACAAGAATACGTTTCTTGTCTGAGATACATCGCACGAGGAATGATCCCCAACTGTCCAATCGCTTTCGAGCCGAAACCTAGTGGATTATAGGTAGTCGACCATGCTGATTCCGAATATCAACATGAGACGTGCTGCTAGGCCTCCAGAGAGTGGTTTTCTGGAAAACCAGTTTTTCAGAAACTCTAAAAAATAACCAAAATCTTTCTTAATGAAGCATGATTGTAGCCCGTAGATTTCTGAGTAAAATGAGACCTCTCCCAGCTCTACATGACCTTTCTTTGCAAAGTTATAGAATTTACAAGAAAAGCCCTAAATGT